TCTATAATTGTTGTATATATTTGTATTTATATGCATTTTTGTCCCCTTACAGTGTGTGTATGGACTAGTAATATTGGCTGTATACAGTTTTTTAGTTACTACTACTACTACTACTACTACTACTACTACTAATAATAATAATAATAATAATAATAATAATAATAATAATAATAATATGCTGCTGCTGCTGCTGCAGCACCAAAATATACACCATAACTGGAATTAGTATGGTTTTCAGTAATTCCACAATACTACCAGCAGATGACAGTATTGTCCATGGTATGGTGATCCAATGGAGGTACAAAGAAATCACTGATTTGTGATTGTGTGTATGTGTAATTTGTTAGGAAAAGTATTTTACTTTTTTTCTTTTATTTTCATTGATTTAAATCTTGCACTACATACTGTATTGCTGTCCCAGATGTGTTCTGTATAAGAACAAAATTAGGTTTCAGCTTTTATAATTTCTTATTTATTTCTCTCTTTCCATGTTCTACCCCATAATTTAGCTGACTTGTATTCTAAGTTCCCTGTTATGGTAATACTGACCTTCCAAGACTAACTCTAACACTTTAGTGTAGGCCCTTCACTCTTGCAACACTAAAATGCTCTCCTGAATATAAAGATCATTTAGCAATAATAAAGAACATCACTGGACTGCACAGAGATCTGACCTGATCCCCATTAAACAAGAACACAGGTAATAATCATCTGCTGCACTGCTACACACTTATAAATACTACATAAGTGTACCAAAGGAAGCAGATCGTTTTTGGATTGTTATCGAAATGTAGCTTAAATATTTATTATTTGTCAATGTTTTGCTAACCTACCCTGCAACAACCCTCATAATACCAAAGAGAATAAGCCCAGGTGTATAAAAAGTTCCGAACCAGTTGATTGATAATATGTCTTTTGACACTAAAAAAACATATACGAAGTTAGCTTCTGACTTTCATTCATTTCATCAAGTTCAAAAAGTAAGATCAATCATAGACTTTGGCCTTGACGGCACCAGCTCTCCAGTGGACATCATAAGGGTATCATGATGCAACACTCCTGGAAACAAGTATCTGCTAAGAGGATAGGTGTGTGAGCTGAGTGTATTCTGGAGGGAATTTCTCAGTTTGTTATTGTGCTTGTTACTGGGATGAGCCACAGGTGTAGGTCATGGTCAGGCCTTAGGCACCTGCACTTCAGCACCTGTGTTCGAACTTAATCAATACCCAAAGGTAAACAACCGTGACTGAAACACCAATTTAACTTTGCATAAACAAAATTAACAATATCTTTTGGTAATTCAAAAGGGCCCAAGAGGCACACCAGCTGCTACTGAACATCCCTTTGGCTGAAAGGCAACAATAACAAAATTAATTATTGCAAGGCTCAATACACTGCTAAATCAGTTATGCTAAATTGTTTATTTTGCTTCCTTGTCAAAAGTGTAACTTTAATCCCCTAATCCAAATGCAATACCTTCTTAAAGTGCCACACAGGGAAATAACTGAAAATACAAGGTAAACATGCCAAAAGCATTTAGCACAAATTCAAATCAAGAATGATTATGTGTAAATCCCCATGCAATATATAATGTTGTTTTTTGTTTGTTTCTTTTGTTTTTATTTCACATTCAAACTTTCTGTTCAAAGCAGACAGAACAAAGAAAGAAAGAAATTGACCGATTAAAAAAACAACAACATATTAGCCCAGATTTCTAGATTACTAGATGTAGGATTCCACATCACTATGTTCATCCAGCTGAGGTTTTGTTAGTCAAAAAGACTTTCAAATCATCTTCCCCAACTGTTCATAACAGTTTACAAAAAACAATAGTTACTATCGAAAACTACTGCACTAGTTGTTTTCTGAAAAAAATGACTTACTTGGTATGTCATGTTACAATATTAAGTGTAATGAAAAAGGCAGATATTTGGGTCACATTACCAGGAATAATGTACACGGTTATGACAGTGTTCAGCAGTAATACTACCATTTGTATGCTGGAACACAAATTTCCTATGTGATCTAAAATAGTCAATATTAAAACTTTGCAGCATTTTGAAGCCCTGCAAAATGGAAGTGCCTTGTTTGTATAAGTTCCCAAGATGAACAACTGCAAACCATATACTATATTTAATTATGGTCCCCACTTTTCATACCTTTACATTTTGAGGAACTGTATGTACACTGATGCATAAATTAACTAACTCTAAAAATGTAATCTTATTGAGCTACAGTTACACAAGATATGGTATTACTTGTGTTTTCACAAGTCTGTATTTAATTCACTTGTAAACTTCTGTTTTTCATTTGCAATGATATGGATCTATATATTATTGTTTTAGCACTGCGGTTATTGAAACACTGTTAATACAGTGGAATAAGTAAATCGGGTATAATTGAAGATATTCACAAATACATGTATGGATAAAATACTCTTGTAATTGTTTTTTGAAGACATATATTCTCATTATTTTCATTACAGCAAACAGAGTGTGTACAATCATATGTATAAAATAAAATAAACTGAATGAAAGAAAGGGAATCTGAACACTTTCAAGTTAAACATACGGTAGCATTCATCATCTCTACATTTTGAAATCAAGGCCTGCTGGCCATAACTCTGTGTGAAAATAGCCAAATAGTACATTTTACTCATAAATCAAATCCCACTAAACATCATATCTATATTGGGTCCATCAATTCTGGTCATGGATTAATGTCCAAAGCAGGTCCAGATCTTGGACATCCAAACTTGGACGTCAATATGATGTTCAACGTTTGAGCTTTGGACTGGGTAATATTTCTGGACATTATGTGTCTATGACAGGTGCAGGAAATGTACATTATTTATACATTTTTTTAAATCATTTTTTAATTACAAATGTGTTTTATTACAAAGAGCTTATGGTTGTAAGAGGAAGTGAACATGGTTGTGCTTGGTAGAGAAGTTGCAATGACAAGTAGGAGAAGTTTGTGAAAGTGTATATGTATGAACTGGACTATCTGCTCGACAGTCTTTGTCAACGCGCACATTTTCCAAACTGTGAGAAGCTGGGGACATGTCCACCGAGCAGCTGCTCACTTTTGTTTTAGCTTCAAGAGCCTGCGGCATCTTGGAGATGTGCACTGATCACTCTGCATTTCTTTGTACATAAATGTTATGATCTAGACCCATTTCAGAAGGTGGCATACTGTTCCAGATCATTTTCCAATAACTTCATTTGATTGTCTCAGCCACAAATGATAGCTATAGATGGATACAAAAGTGTAAACAAAGCAACAAAAAGATTAACTGGTAGTCTATAGAAAACATGTCCTTTACCCTCTGAAAATATGTGACTACTGACACTATCCGGTCTTTAAGTGATGACGTGACAAATCCTGCTTCCGGGCCTAACACAGACACCTAACACCTTCCGGGTCTGTGTTTAATATGGCTTTTGTGTTGTTAACATGTTTAATGTTTTGTATTTTCTTCTATTTAATCTCAAAAAGCTCCTAAAACAGTCAGTGATCACTGTTGACCTCCCTCGGCTTTTATTACCGCTAATCATTTATTTAAGCTCAGTTTTTAAAACCTTAGGATGTAACTACAGCCCAGCCCATGCAGCAGTATATGAATGACTAACCTCGTATTGTGGATGGATTATCTCAGTTGTTCTCCTGGCTGAAGTTTGGTCCTTTTACAGCACCCTGCCATGCGATTACATTTGTTCCTGACCACCAAGAACACTCACGTTAACTTTAACCAAGGGAAAAAAATTAGCTTGTTTATATTATGTGTGTGTGAATGCCAGAGTGAATGAATAAAGTGCTTTGGGTGCCTTGAAAAGCGCTATATAAATCCAATCCATTATTATTATTATTATTATTATGCTCACATAGCTGTGTCACTAGCGGTCACGTCGCAAATCATTATATACCAGCTAGCCAAACTTCAGTAACCCTACAAACGTCACTGCTGTTCTGACTTCATTTATGTTGGATGTAATAGAAGAGCCGTACGTTTGAATTTGTTTCCAAAATCCGTCAGTCAGTGTTTAGATGGAAGCTAGCGAGCTAACTTTCTGCTAATTTCTAACTCCGTTAAATGTCATAAATTCCGTTTTCATGGATGCCCGGATGTTAAACTCAATTGTTACACCTGGTAGAGCAGAACACTGATCATTTTATTACAGATGAAAAACTTTAGACAGTTTTTCAGCTCTCAGTGATGCCACAGTGATCATTTGATTTATGGACCTGGAGTTTGAGCCCAGACACGGCTAGTGACATCAGACTTAAAGACCGGATAACAACAGTATAAAAACAACATTTAAACAGGCTTTAGGATTTAGGCTAAGTTTTGTTAAGTTTGGCATTGAGAAGATGTCCACAACAACCACAGTTTGACTATAAATAGCCTGTACATGGAGGTCCTACAGACATCTACACTAGATGTTCTGTAGACGTTGAGAAAAAAATGTCACCTGGCATTACAAAACAACCCCTCCACTGGACCAAAACTGGACGTCCAAAAGTGACATATTAAAAAGATTACTCTGACATCACTTTGCATAGTGGGATTAAATTAAAATTTTAAGTATTTATGGATTTTTTTTTCAAAATGCACAAGTTTTATCTAATATTTTATGTTAAATCCTCAAATTGTGTATAATTATGCATTGATATGCACTGGACTTTATGTTTGTTGGTCTGAAGTTATAATTTGTTTCATTTGTTTAATATAAATTTGGAAATCTAAAAAACCTAAAATTGTAACAAATCATTATCAACACATAATATCATGGCGAGGCCCAATGAAAGTTTTCCTGTCTCTGATTGGTTGGTAAAAACTAACGTACCCTGTCATGGTCTAAGATAAAATTCTGCTCTAACCCAGACAAGAGTAGCTTTTTCCCACCATAATGCATAAATAGAAGATGTTGTCATTGATAACAGGGCTAGTGTTCATTGGATTTTTTGCATTTCAAACTGTAGAGGAGAAAGCTTCTCTGTGTCAGATACTGGGGAGTCCAGAGTTTCCTATGCTGTCAAAAGAAGGAGATGTTATGATCGGTGGAGCCTTTTCCATCCACAGCAAAATAACATCGCCTTCACTTGTCTTTACAGAGAAACCCAAACGCCTCAGGTGTTCCAGGTAATTTTATGCTATTAACAAAAATACTGAGTTTTGTGACAGTAAACACAAGTTTATATTTGCTTGTCATTTCTCAGTGTCAACCTTAGGGAGTTTCGATTTGCACAGACGATGATATTTGCTATTGAGGAAATAAACAAAAACAGTTCTCTTCTTCGCAATGTTTCTATTGGATATCGTATTTATGACAACTGTGGCTCAACACTGTCCTCAATGCGTGCAGTTATGGCCCTGATTAATGGTGATGAATGGATGCTGGGAAAGAGCTGCTCTGGCCAATCAGCTGTGCATGCTATTATTGGGGAGTCTGAATCCTCTTCAACCATTGTTCTGTCACAAACTACTGGACCATTTAAAATACCAGTGGTAAGAGGGATGTTGATGGATATTCCATGTATGCATATGAAATGTAAACTTTCCTTATTCTGTCTCTCTTTCTTGCATCTTTCTATTGTGTGTACTCAGATAAGTCATTCAGCTACTTGTGAGTGTTTGAGTAGCAGGACAGAATATCCTTCTTTTTTTCGAACTATTGCCAGTGACTTTTATCAAAGTCGAGCCCTCGCTCAACTGGTCAAGCACTTTGGCTGGACCTGGGTTGGAGCAGTCAATAGTGATAGTGACTATGGTAACAATGGCATGGCTATCTTCCTAGCTGCGGCCCAAGAAGAAGGAGTATGTGTGGAATACAGAGAGAGGTTTCACAGGGCAGAACCAGAAAAACTTCTAAAAGTGGTTGATGTGATCCGTAAGAGCACTGCCCGGGTTATTGTTGGTTTCCTGGCCCATGTAGAGATGAACAACCTTCTGGAGCAATTGAGTCTGCACAACATCACTGGCAGACAATTCATTGGAGTGGAGGCCTGGATTACTGCTAACAGCCTTGTGACTCCTACCAGCTTTGCTGTATTGGGAGGCTCACTGGGCTTTGCAGTGCAAAAGGCTAATATCAGTGGCATGGAAGATTTTTTAGTCAAAGGCTTTTGGGAATTTCAGTGTAAGGAGGCAAACCAGGACAGTATGATAAATACTACATTTTGCAAAGAAAATCAGGATCTAATGGAGCTGATAGATTATGATGATGATGTGGCAGAGCTGAGATACTCCAGTAACATTTACAAAGCAGTCTATGCTGTAGCCTATTCTCTGCATAACATCCTGAAGTGCTCAAACATTCAAGGGTGTGACAAGAAAGTTCATGTTACTCATAGGCAGGTAAACTAAACTAATGACTAAACTTTTCTTTGTTTTGTACATCAAAATAATGATATTAATATAATGGCAATATATGACACAGTTTAGTTTTCTGGTCTTCAGGTAGTGGAGTCCCTAAAGCAAGTGAACTTTACTATTAAGAATGGGGATCGAGTGTGGTTTGACAGCACTGGAGCAACTGCTGCCAGGTACGAGGTGGTAAACTGGCAGCATGGACCAGATGGATCTGTTCAGTTTATACCAGTTGGCTATTATGATGCTTCTCTACCTCCTGGTCAGAGGTTTGTTCTTAAAACGGAAGCCATTGTGTGGCCTGGAGGAAGCAAAGAGGTAAATATTTTAAGTGATAAAACAACAGTTAAAAATGCGTCTCTTCAAAAACTTTCACATATTCCTCTTTATTGGATCTGAAGTTGCCTGTCTCAGTGTGCAGTGTCAGCTGCCATCCAGGAACACATAAAGTTCTTCAAAAAGGAAAGCCAGTCTGCTGCTATGACTGTATGCCATGTGCAGAAGGAGAAATCAGCAACACCACAGGTATCACAGTCCTGAATTACAGCAACGTGCATACACTGTTTGCTTTCTACAGTTTATGTGTAATGTTTAAGTCTTCTGTGGTACAGTTACTGATTTACAGTTACACTGATTTAATACCAATAACGGCAACACTATTTTCATTACAGATTCTAATGACTGCAAAAAGTGTCCTGGAGAATATTGGTCCAATCAAAACAGAGATGCATGTATATTAAAAAATGTTGAGTTTCTTTCCTTCACAGAATTTATGGGAAAAATTATTGTGTTTTTTACTTTCTTTGGTGTTCTCCTTAATTTGATAGTGGCTGCTCTATTCTTAATCAAGAAGGACACTCCACTGATAAAGGCCAACAATTCTGAGCTGAGCTTCCTGCTGCTCATCTCCTTGACTCTGTGTTTCTTGTGTTCTCTAACTTTCATTGGTCAGCCCTCCGAGTGGTCCTGCATGCTTCGACACACAGCATTTGGCATAACTTTTGTGCTCTGTATCTCTTGTATTCTGGGGAAAACAATAGTAGTACTGATGGCCTTTAAAGCTACACTTCCAGGGAGTAATGTCATGAAATGGTTTGGACCTGTACAGCAGAGACTGAGTGTTCTAGCATTCACTCTCATACAGGTATTGATTTGCATTCTTTGGCTAACAATAAACCCACCATTCCCCTACAAAAATATGAACCATTACAAAGATAAAATTATACTTGAATGTGCCCTGGGATCACCTGTAGGTTTCTGGGCTGTGTTAGGATACATAGGGCTGCTGGCTATGTTATGTTTTGTACTTGCTTTTTTAGCTCGAAAGCTGCCTGATAATTTCAATGAAGCTAAATTTATCACTTTCAGCATGTTGATTTTCTGTGCAGTGTGGTTAACCTTTATACCAGCTTATGTCAGCTCCCCTGGAAAATTCACAGTTGCTGTGGAAATATTTGCTATTCTGGCATCAAGTTATGGGCTACTCTTTTGTATTTTTGCACCAAAATGCTATATTATTGTAATTAAACCTGAACTGAACACAAAGAAACATTTGATGGGAAAAATACAATCAAAATAAATCTAGGCACCAGTTTTATTTCAAATGCATTTAGTTGTATACTTTTTGATTTCACTACTTACCCTTACGTTTTGGTGTGACATTCATTTTCACATGTATTGTATTTGTATTTTCTAGTTTTTCAAAAATCTTCAAAAAATTGTACAAAGTGAATGTACGATGTTTTCTGTAGAATGTAGAGTTTTCTTTTTTGTATTGATTTTGATAATTTTATAGTGTACTAATTCTAACGCTGTCAGTAATATTAACAATAACAATCAACAATAAAAACGTGTAATAAAAATTTCATACACTTTTTTTGGTTCATTATTAAATTGACACATAAACACATAAACCTGAACCTGATCCTGCAAATTGTTGGATTATTGCAGGGTCTTTTTACCTTATAATATAAAGCACCTTGAAGCAACTGTTATTGTGAATTGCTGTTATATAAATAAAATTACATTGAATCAATTCTGAACTGAGTTCTGTGTTTAATATGTTAAAAGTAATTTTTTCAAATATTGCAGTATGCACTTGTGAACCAGGCCTCTTTCTCAGGCATGACCTGTTCACACTCAACCTTTTAAAAACAATCACTCCTCAGCACTGATCAAGTTTGTTGGACATTGTACAGCCTCACTGACAGAAAAGTGCAAGGTATATCAGACAACAGTTTACGGACCATATTCAGTGTTAGTATTTATCATACAAGCCCAATTCTGAAAATATTGGGATATTGTACAAAATCTGTTTAAAATTTGTTTACGCTATTGTGGATAAAGTATGGGTTTCTACGATACCATCACACACACATGTCCACACAGAGAGAAAAGAGAGAGAAAAAATGTCAGCCATAGACATCGCCACTATGATACCATGATGTCACCCATTAGTTTTGGACTGCATTTTAAAACCTCAAGATTAATGTGACTTCTGTGTCAATACTATAATAATACTAACATTTCACTCACCACTGCTGTCAGGACACCTGTCAGTCACAGTGGCTATGCAACTAACTACAGTATCTATGTGAACGAGTTACAATAAAGTCCAAAGATGTCAACAATACAGTTTGTACTCACTTATAAACATGATTTCAGTTGTAAAGCTCCTTGTGATTGCTTTTTTCTCTAGCTGATTGCCACAGTCACCCACATTTTGAATCAAACGCACCAACCTGTTAGTAGTCATTTACCATGTACTCTCAGACATACAGCGAAACCTGAAAAAGTGTGATGCAGGCCAGAAATGTAGAATATTTGCCCTCAAAGTAAAGGTTGTGCTTCATAACTATAATCAACATGTTTCAAGAGGTAAAACTTTGAAGGTAAATGTTCTCTGTTTCTGGTTTATGGGGCGCCGTTTGTAAACTGAAGCATGCTGAAATTAACTACCAGCATGTCCAGCGATTTAGCTGGACATATGCTGCGGTGATTGTGAAGTGGACACTGCAGTTGCTTAGTGTGACTACTGCTGAACCTTTGGATGGCCAACAAAATGGCTCTTTCAATGTTTTCAGCTAAATCGCTGGACATGTTGGTAGGCAAGAAGTGAAGCAGCCCATGGCGGTTACATGTGACTGTCAGGCAAGAGCAGACAAACAACCTGACCACTACCGGCACACTTTAGCGCCGGAGGTTTTTGTAAAGCTTTTATTTTGGTTTTCATGTTAGCTAAATATTTAGTTTCCCGTAACATTTAGATTTAACATTTAAATTTAAATACAATATTTAGATTCAGTATTTAACATGTAGAATTAACATTTAAAATTGTGTTTTAAAACTAAAAAGTTACAAATGTTTTAGTAAATCTTGTAAAAAGTGACTCGAAAAAACATGTTTTTGTAAAGTTTTAAGCTATATGTGGAAAAATTTTGCCGTTAATTTCAGCATGTTTCAGTTTACAAACGACGCCCCATACTGGTTTGCTTCACCCTTTTCCCAGTGTAACTAGAGCTTGGCAAGTCACTTGCTTATCTTTATCGTTCATACTAACTTTCAAATGTGGGAACTAGCCAGCCGTAGCTACGTATGCTGCAGTGCCATAATGGTTTGTGACCAGTTTCATGACTGCTAGCAATCTCCAGTAACTACTCATGAATTTCAGATTTCACTAGCAACTTTTGGTTGCCAGTGGGTTACTAATCAGTCTATATAAGTGTGTGAGTGTGTGAGTGTGTTTACAAAACAAATAGTTACATATATGTCTTGTTTAGAGTCTTTATTTAGTTACCACAAAGGTTATGGAATGTTGCCACCTAAAATATCTTAAATAGAAGTTTGACAGCTGTTTAAGTATTAAGTATTTATTTTAAATTGTGTTGATTTTATCACACTGCCAAATGGTTCCTGTTTTGAACCATCAATTAATAAAGAAAACTGTGCAGCTGAATTAGAATATCTAGCTCTGTGTGTGTTGAGTTGTATGGTCCCACGTGGAGTCTTGTGTCATTCAAAAATTTAATGTTTTTAAATTGTTTCAATTACCACTATTATAACAATTTACATAATTTACAAAACAATTTACACTATTATTATATCAAATGTTTCCAAAGAAGACAGCTTAAAATATATGCATTTTCTGGTAAGGGTGACTCAAAAAAAAAAAGCTGTCTCCCATAAAAATCGCAAAACAGTGTGACAATGTATGTCATACTGTGATATGATAGGAGGACCTCAGGCTTCATCAATTATAGCTCTATAAAGCTCTGCCCATTAAAGAATACACATGCTTGGTCAGTAATATCAGAACAGAGTACAGGGCTGTACATGCATGAGTGTGGTTGTCTGTAAAAGATGTATGACTGCACATTCAGAGTGTTATTTTGGGGTTTATTTATGGGAGTCTGCAGAGCAGAGGAAAATACTGTTCTCTGTGAAATGCTAGGAAGTCCAGAGGTTCCTCTTTTGACTAAGAAAGGGGATATTACTATTGGAGGAGCTTTTTCTATCCATAGCCAAATCTCAAAGCCTTCGTTCTCCCTGACTCATACTCCAGAAACTCTCACATGCTCCAGGTTTGTCTTTTTTCCCTTTGCAGGGTTCATGACTTGAAGAGCTTTACATTACACTTTTTAAAACACTTTTTTTTTACTCTTTTCAGGATAAATTTGAGAGAATTTCGTTTTGCCCAAACAATGATTTTTGCAGTAGAAGAGATCAACAATAGCAGCACTTTACTGCCTAATATTTCAGTTGGTTATAAGATATTTGACAGCTGTGGTTCAACACTGCCTTCAACACGTGCAGTGATGGGTTTACTAAATGGACAGGAAAGGACAGCAGAGAAAACCTGCAGCAGTCATTCATCTGTTCATGTCATCATTGGAGCTTCTGAGTCTTCCTCAACCATTGTGATGCTACAAATTTGTGGGACCTTCCAAATACCAGTAGTAAGTATTTATAATATTTGTGTCAATTTTTTATAATGTGACTCTCTCCAAAAATTGAAGTTTAGTAACTTTTTTGGTCACTTACAGGTTTATGTGAATCTTAGATTTAAGGCTTCCAAGCTTTACATTAAATTTAGTTACAAGCCAGAAACAACATTTTGTTTTGTCTCTGAAGAGCCAACTGTAAATCTCTTCCCACTTACTTGTCAATTTGTTTTTGTTTTTCTCTTTTACTTCATTTCAGATCAGCCATTTTGCCACATGTGCTTGTCTGAGTAACAGAAAGGATTACCCTTCGTTCTTCAGAACCATCCCCAGTGATTACTATCAGAGCAGGGCCCTGGCAAAACTGGTAAAATATTTTGGATGGACATGGGTTGGGGCAGTCAGAAGTGACAATGATTATGGCAACAATGGGATGGCAACTTTTATCACAGCAGCAAGTCAGGAAGGGGTTTGTGTTGAATATTCAGAGGCCATTTCAAGGACTGATTCTAGTGAGGAGGTTGCAAGGGTGATTGAAGTGATTCGTAGTGGCAGTGCAAGAGTTTTGATTGCCTTTCTTGCCCAGGGTGAGATGGACATTTTGCTGGAGGAAGCTCTGAAGCAGAACTTGACTGGGTTGCAGTGGGTGGGCAGTGAATCGTGGATAACAGCAAGTCATTTGACTACTAAGAGGTACTCTGGCATACTGACAGGGTCTCTGGGCTTCACTATCAAAAAGGCAAAGATTGCAGGCCTGCGAGAATTTCTTTTACAGGTTAACCCAAGTCAGGATCCTCAGAATAGTGTGCTAAGAGAGTTCTGGGAAACGGTTTTTGGCTGCAGTTTTCAATCCAGGCTGCCTGGTCAGATTCAGTGCTCTGGCTCTGAGAAGTTAGAGGACATAAACAATCCTTTTACGGATGTATCACAACTAAGGATATCTAACAATGTGTACAAGGCTGTGTATGCCATAGCTCATGCTATGCATAACTTGTTAAATTGTGGTCAAAGTGCTAAAGCCATGAATCAATCATGTATATGGAAGGATCATTTAGAGCCAAAAAAGGTAAGACATTACCTTACAAAATCGTAGAAAAAGTATTTATTTGATCTAGAATTCTATATATGCTAAGTTACCAACCCTCGTTTTGGATTGGTAGATTGTGAAACACCTCCAAGATGTCAATTTCACTCTTCAGTCGGGAGAAAGAGTATATTTTGATGAAAATGGAGACCCTTCAGCAATGTATGAACTTGTGAACTGGCAGAGAAACCAAGCAGGAGATATAATTTTTGTGGCTGTAGGGAGCTATGATGCTTCACTACCAAATGAAAGTCAGCTTGCCGTGAATGGAATCAATATAACATGGGTTTCTGAATCCCGAATGGTAAGTCTATTTGAGAGCAAGGAATATTTATTTAATACTTATTTTGCAGGTTGATTAAAATTAAAATTTTATTAATAAAAACTGTCATTCAGAAAGTTTTTTAATATTGAACTTTAGCAAATAAAAACAATCTCTCCCACATACACAGATATGTATAATCCTTAATTTTCAATGTTAATTTTCAATAACAATGTTAACATAACAGCTTCAGAACTATTTTTATGTTAATTTTCCCCTCTGATGCAGAATAA